TAAAGGACTTCTGCACTGAGTTAATGCCTGCAAGTTAGAAAGTAACTTCTTGGTTTTCTCCTTTGTGTTTCTCTAGAGCATCAGTATAATAAAAAGAGAAACTGAAGAAGGTAGGGTCAATACATTACAACACAACAGCTCTTGGGGATCACAGAGAGGCAGATAACCCTCCTGGAGACGGTGGGCTTTAATAATCCTAACTGCTTTCCAGATGCTGAATAATTTTGCCCAGTGTTTAGCTCTACGTACTCCTTGCTTTATACCAAAAAAATCATCAAAAATATCTTTCCATTCCACAAAAATTGCAATTAATTCTGCACATAAGGTAAAAAGGTACACATGAATTATGACAATAGCATTCTGTACACAAGAAGACATGCAATAAGCTTGACTAATGCTTTATACAAAGACATATCTGTTTTTCACCAGCAGCTGTTTGATTCATTCCAGGAGCACAATGCATTTCTGACTCTATGCCCCAAGAACACACAGCATTTCTGTAAGGCTACTTACCTGGCTATTCAGGGCATTCAGCTCATGTATCCACTGCCTCTTCCCACATCCACACAAGACGCTCACTTTTTTTTCCTTAAAAGTTGCTACAAAATGCACTCAGCAGTAAGACACTAGTATTTCTGTCCTGCCTCCACCTCAACACCAGTGTTATCCATCCAACCATGCTTCTTCCAAACCGTATTTTGTTGTCCTTATAAAGCTACTCAGTCCATAGGACAAGAGACTCTTTTGCTATTTGTGTGCAGGACAAAAGACTGAAACAAAGCAGCATCCTCTGAATAACCAGAATAAGTCTACACAAGTCACCAGGGTTAGGCTGATTTGCTCCCACAAGGATGTGTGCTGTGTCCTTTGTTTATCCACAAAACGTACTCTGCACAACCAACTAAGGCTTGTTTGAGCTTGGAACCTTGGAACTGATATTATTTAATACTTTCATGAATGACCTTGGTACAAGAAAATGAAAACATGTTCATGAAACCAGAGCATATTACAAGATTCAAAGGCTGTGTCAATGCAGAAGAAGATCAGAGCATTATACAGGTGGGATAAGAGTAAAACAGGCAGGATAAAACTGAGGATCATGGAGCATAAAATTGTGTATTTAGGGAGTAAAGCCAGAATTTCTGCTACAAACTTGGAGACCCAAAATTTAGCAGCAAAATAGAAGCACCCAGTAGCTAAGCACAATCTGACAACTCCTTGCTAATGTGATGCAGGGCTGAGAAACCAAAGTGTGATGCCAAGAGGTATAAGCAGTCATTTTTACCAGTAATAAAGTGAATGTGCTAGCACTGAAAGTCCTCCTGGGATTTTGCTGAAATATATTCAAAGACAGTATTTATTGTGTGCTGAACAAATTCAGGTTCAAGAGGTATGAAGGCTGTTTTGGTGGAGGGAGGAAGGGAGATACAAAAGGGCTGGCATATAGGAGGTTTAGGTTGCACTTAATGCAGTGAATTGCAAGGTAGGACTGCAGCATTTGAAGCAGATGCAACCAACTAGGCATGCTCCTGCCTTGACACATGCACAGAATTTGCTCTCGTTCTTCAGTGAACAAGCACAGAGCACTCCAGCTTCCCTCACACCTTCTTTCCAAAGGTACCCCAGCTTATTTTTACTTATTTTTCCTCTAAGAGGGGAGATAGGTCTGCAAGAACAACCTCTCCAGAAGCTGCTTCAGCAACATGCTGAAAAGTAAATAGATCTCCTTTTCCAAATTGGACTAGATATAACCCTCTCCTTCCAATTAATGGAACACTTCTTTTTGTTCAGATTTATCAGCTGGGACTCCTATCCTGGGATTTTGATATCTGATCCCATTTTTCCACATCTGCTCATGCATTCTCTCCCTCGAAACCCCAACCCATTCCCTCTGCAAGCTGCCTACATGTATCTGGGGGATAAGATGAACTACAGAAGGGAATGTCACATTGGGCTCTTGTACTTAAGTAGCTCTTTTGCAATGAAGCAGGGTCAATATCAGCCCACCTTTACTTCCACCCAAGCTCTCAGCTGCCGACCAGTGGCAGTCTGGGGCGGTCAGACTCCAGGTCACAAGTGTGTGGCTCTGTAAACATAGGAAACACTCATACATGGCCTCCAGTCCTGCAACTCCTACAGGTTTCTTGGAACCACTCTGAGATCCTGATGCCACCACAGCTGCTCACAACATAATTTTTTTATCCAAACTCACTCAAATTTCAACAAATGGTAAAGTCTACAGGGACAAGAAGATTTTTTCAGCTGCCTTCCCAGCTGAAGCAAGTTCTGCCGTTGTCACCGATGTAGGCAAAAAAGTGGAAATACAGGTTTTACTTTTCATTCACTTTTTCACCAGATTAACTGCACAGTGCCTAAGGATGCAGCTACTGCCTGATGTCTTGCCTTATGATCTGGAAAAGAGTGTGAGCGGAACAGGTATACAAGCAACAGGATGTTATTTGACAGTCAAAACAGAAGCCTGAGATAAGGTTATGAAAAACATGCACATAAACTTAACAAATGCTTGTTGAATGGACAACACAAAACAGAGGAAAATCCATTTTATCATGTGCAGTCTTGGAAGAAATCATACAAGTATTGATGTGGTCAACAAAATTAGAACATCTGCACAGTGTTCAGCATCACTTTAAAAAGCTGACAGAATATGAGGAAGCATTGGACTGAGAAAAGTCCTGAAAGCATTAAAACACTGTCTAAATCAATATAGTCCCACCTTGCAAGCAGCATTCAGTACCAAGTTTCCCATCACAAAGATATGTGAGAAACAGAAAGTTTCCACAGACATATATAACAGAAGAGTTTCAGAAACAAGGGTGAACTAAATGGGATTGAACAAATCCTACAATGGGCTTACAAGTAAAATCTTCAAGCAGTTAATTAAATACAAAAGACACACAGTCACAACAGGCAGCATTTTTCTCTGATTTACACCAGACAAAAATCCAGGCCTTATCCTTTTAATGTGAATCAAAGGGAGTTTGTGCTCTGTGAAAGCAAAGCACTAAATGACTCTTTATGACAATCATCCTACTTATCAGGCCCTGCAACTACTGTTCGTTCAAACCAATTAAACAGCTGTGTGCCAAGAATAACAATAAAACCAACTGCATCAGCAATAAAGATTATTCTTCTCCACCTGAAAAAAAAATTACATCAAATGAATAAGTGAGATATAAAAGAGGAAAAAGAGAATTCAGACACCTAACAAATAGTACTTCAAACTGTACGAAATTTAGGCCTATGTACAGGCCTTATGACTGCTTATGTGTCTCCTGAATGAGCACAACCTGCACACAACTAGTATATAGACTTCGTATTGGTCCATTAAGAGTAAACTTCAGCCATTATTAATAATCATCACATTGCTCTCATATTTGTAGACTTCAGCTTATGCTCAACCTATTTCATTTTATTTAGTTGCTTAATGATACGGAAAGAGACACCTCCAGAGGCTCAGTGGGATGGGAAGAACTGTCCCCTGGAAAGGTTGTTCACAGGTTTACAGAGAGATGCTAGGGTTGCTATGCTTAAAAATATAGCAACTTGGACCTATGCTTACAAGAGAGAAATCCATGTCTACCTTTCTGTGGAGTGTCCTAACAATGGCTTGGGAAACAGACTTGACATTCCCACAATACGCCCTTTGATTAATCTACAAGGGAGACCATATTGCAGCCTTTCAACATATAAAGGAGGCTTATAAGAAAAATTGAGAGAGACTTTTTACTAGTCCTGTAGTGACAGGGCAAAGGACAAAGCGCAATGGTTTCAAACTTAAAATAGTAGATTTAGGATAGATATTAGGAAGAAGTTCTTTCCTGTGAGGGTGGTGAGACACTGGAAGAGCTTGCCCAGAGAATTTATGGATGCCCCTTCCCTGGCAATATTCAAGGCCAGGTTGAATGGGGCTTCCACCTGGTCTAGTGGAAGACGTCCCTGCCCATGGCAGGGTTTTGGAACTAGATGATCTTTAAGGTCCCTTCCAACTCAAACCATTCTATGGCTATACATATTCACTAAATATACAATGAAGTAGTTTTAATTATTCAAGTAAATTGTTTCATAGGACTCCAAAAGGGGTTCCTGATTCCCCTGTAAACTTATAAAGCTTGAGAACTGATTATTTCTCAAATGATTTCTCATTGTATAAAGTCTTTGTTATTTCACATTACTACTATATAAACCATGTTTGTCCCCGCCACGCCTAAATCTTATCTGGGCAGTTACCTACCCAAGAACACATCAGTTACAATTCTCTCCTATGGACACAACCTTTGCCAATTGAAGTTTTTCTGCCCTCAGTGATGGCTACCTGCCAATTCTAAAGAATCTCAAATCCAATCACTTTTACTAAAGGCCCATTTTCCTACAAACATATTTGGAACCAATACAAGCTATTTGAAATGGTAGAACCATCTTAGAATTCAAAACTCTCAACATAACAGCATGCTGGTCTAAGCAGAAAGTTGACCCATTACGATATCAACTCTGAAGCACAGTGCTTTGTGTGATGTTCCATTAACACTTTTTGAAACAGAACTGCCTTTCAGGTTTGAGAGGAGCTTATGGGCACTTCCTAGCTCAATGAATTAAAAAACCCCAAACCAACCAAACAAACAAAAAGAGAGAGAATATCTGGAGAAGGGAAGCAAAAATTTACTTCAATGAGCAAGACCTGACGCATTTAGCACACAGGACAATTTTGTGGAAACAGTGTGTGCAAGCCACAGATTCTGATGGTTCCTAAGAAGGAGGCATTCACTGTTGCTGTAAGAAGGATGAATCTTATTAATTTCTTCATAGAAAGTTTGCTTCTCCTAAGTTCTAGAAAAGTGTCTTTCCAGATTCTCTTCTCATGTAGCATTTTTTAGGATTTTGATACAGATTCCAGGGTGGGATAGTAAAACAACCACAGTAACAGCCACAACAGAGTTTTTTTTAACTATGCATGCTAAGAAGGAAAACACACAATTAATATCAAAACTTTAGCTTTCTGCATATTTCCTATTATACAGCCAGATGTTTCTTCCCTGTTATGTGTATGGAGTCCCTAGTATGGGAAGGATGGAGTTTTTATGTATTTATTTTCAGGAGAAATTTTGAACTGAAGCCAGGGAACAACAGCTGGTTCTGGTCCAGAGTTATCTGCTGAAACATGAGGAGCGGCTGTGGGAAAATTAATGATCAATAAAACTTCCACTTTGAAAAATTTCTTGTGTTAAGGAAAAGGCAGGAGAGATCACTCTACATTTAAAATAACACAATGAAGTGAAAAAACGCAAAATGGGAACTTGAAAAGAGATCTCACATACCACGTGAGTGCTTTCATTCATATTGTGAGGTAGGGTTTCTTTTTTAATAAGAAAAATTCTACAACTTTCTTCTTCAGGGTAAGAAGTCTCAATTCTTGAAGCATTTGACAGAGCAGGACATTCATTTCCTGACCAGCTCTAATGACAGTGGAATGGGAACAATAAAGCAACCTGGCCAACCAGTATTCCTCCAGTATTTCACCCAGGGAAGGCAAGACACCGTCTCTCCAGGAAAAAAAAAATGAATAAAATCACTAATAAAGGTGGTAATTAATGAGATTAATGAAATATCTGATACATTTAATGTAACATTTTGTACTGAAGCCTTCCTCTTAGTTATCATTACTTTAATGATCTATGCACAGCTTTCAATACAGGCAAAGATTTATAAAAACACTGTAGTTAAATACATTATATCAATTCTTAGAATTGCCTGTTCCTAAGAAGGAGAGCAATGTTAACTCCATGACAATAACATTTAACCTTCCAAAAACACTTTACTGAAGGTTACACAAACAAGAATAATTTGGGAAGAACAGGAACCATTTAGTTGCCCTGGGAGGAATCCCATAAAGAAGCAGAATGACATAAATACTGGGATTTAATAACATCTTTTCTGTGTGTTCCATCTGAAAGTCTCCAGTGCTCAAATACATGCAAATCAGATCTGAAAACTCTTCCCAGCATCACTGTTTAACATTGTGAACACCTATGACCTTGTCGTGGTTTAAACCCAGTCAGGTAATTCGTTCGCTCACTTCCCCCCCTTTTCTTGCCCTCCCCCTGCTCTTGGAGGGACGGAGAGGAGAATCGAAAAGAATGCAACTCCCACGGGTTGAGATAAGAACAGTTTAGTAACTAAGGTATAACACAAATCACTACTGCTACCACCAATGATAATAATGATAAAGGAAATAACAAGGGAAGAGAATACATCACCTCACCACCAGCCGACCGATAACTCGCCCCCCCCAGCCCAACCAAGCTCTGACCGATACCTCCTCCAACCCCGCAGTCTCCCAGCCCTTCCGGCTAACTCCCAGTTACCTCCTGGACATGACGTGCTGTGGTATGGAATACCTCTTTGGTCAGTTTGGGTCAGGTGTCCTGTCTCTGCTTCCTCCTGGCTCCCCCTCCTCCCTGGCAGAGCATGAGGCTCACAAAGTCCTTGGCCAAACCAAAACATCCTTGTTATCAGCTCTGTTCACGAGCTGAAAGTCAAAACACTGCACTACACCAGCTACCAAGAAGGAGAAAAATGACTGCTACTGCTGAACCCAGGACAGACCTGCAGACTAAACTCCTTATGTACTCACCCATGGATCAGGACCACATGTGAATCTCTCTGTTCAGAAGTATCTCCCACTGCAGAAATGGCATTACCTACCAACACAGCAAACAGCAGTACATTATTTTATTCTTCCCTGGGCTATATGTTGTAAGTCTAGCTCTTTACCTTAACAGAATGCTCTACTCTCATTAGCAGAAGAAGAGGGAAAGGGGGGGATGCCTTTTAGGTTTCTCCAGAAGGCAACCTCCTGTTGGGAAGCTCATGTTGCTAATACAGGAGGCAACCTATTGCCAAGAGACCTCCTTCACTAGACTGAGGCACTTTTTTCTTGCTTGTAGCTCCATGGATGCTCATCTTGTGTATCTGAGGCTTCTTACAACAATAATGCAAGTAACTAAGTGATAAAATTTGCATTAGCACAGGCCATCATTAAGCAGCTTACTTATAATGATGGCAGATAAGTACAATGGTAATAAAATTTTTCAGTAAAGACGCTGTATGTTAACTGCCCAAATTAGTTCATTTACTAAAGATGCATGTATAGTGTCCTGTTCTGGACTTGGCAAAGAGCATTTCAGACTAAAGTACGCACATATGTATACATGGAGATATATGTGTGTATGCCATCTCCTTCTTCCACTGAAGGATTATTTCATTCTATGTATAAATCATTATTAATGGTGTACCAGGTACTTAATCATAACTAGCTAGAGATTTAACATGCACTTTTCATAGTCCTCAGATTTCTGAGTCCTAATTAAACTCATAATCAAGAACCATCGTTACAAATTGTAAGCAAAAGATCAATACATACATATCCTACTGCCACATGGAGCTGAAGGAAGAGCAAGAACTCTTCAAAACTGAGTTTCAAAAAATATATTACCTTTAAATAAACTTCTGAGGCTTACTACAAGGTTTCTTTTAGCCTCTGAAGTCCAAATGAGAAAGGATAGTTGTATCACATCTTCCCATAGGGATCTCAGGTTAACCACTTGACTGCCTTCTTTCCGTGCCTGTCTTTTCTGTCCTCTCCCTTTCCTTCATTTATTCCTAAGGTTTGTCTACACTGGGAATAATCTGATAATTATTGTTTGTTGTTATTGCTCCCTTATCAGGCACTGTATTTCAAAAAAAAAAAGTGTTTTGTTCATGGTAAGTTTCCATGCTTATCTACAGCGTACAGGTAGAATTATTCATAATTCCTTTACCGATCATTTTCCACACACAAACACTTGACCTTCAAATATCCTTATCAGGCTTAATATTATATGGCATAGAACAAACAAGTGTGTTGAGATCATATACAGAAACTACACTGGGTGCTTTAAGATCAAATGCTTGTCTGCTTTTCCAACTGTTAATTGATGTAGTAAGAGATATTGCCTCTCTGCATCGATTTTGCAGGCTGACATCTATACCCCACCACAGCTACACCAGTTTAGATATCCAGACTAACAAGAGTGGCCTGCCTGCAAGACCTGAGACTTTCTCACAACCTGACCATGTTCCTAACTACACATTCAAGACCCCCTTTCCAGCCCCTGTTGTGTAATCTGGTTGACTGACGTCCCTTCTCCTGTATGGATAACATGCTCATATGGCAACAGCAGCGGAAAGGCAAGACAGAAATAAACAGCAAGAAGTGCAGAGATCAAAAGCACAATGGATAGCATTTCCTAAACAAACGATGAAGCCTTTCCAAGTACCAGTGCATCTTTATGCATTTTGGTCTTGTTACCTGGTGTTCTCTTCCCCTCCAATACTTCTCATGCTAAATGTGTGCAAGCGTTTATGCTCTCTGCCCTGTGCATTTCATTTTTGCTTTGCACATGCATTCCCACTACCTGCTTTCTCATTTGTCATGACCATTGGCAAAACAGCAGAGCCAAAAATCTATATGTATCTATTGCAATATAGACATTTTCTGAAACCAGCAACCTCATAGCACCACAATAAACTGTTCGCAGATGAGAGATTTTAATGGTCCACTCCCATAAACTGGGTAATTCTTCTTTGACAAAAGCAAGCCATATAATTAGAAAAGGGAACTAGTTACTTCTAATGAAAGAATAATCAGATCACCATTAAAGGGGCATTAGCTGCATTTATCTTAATTCTAGAGGCCCTACTGTTGCCTTCTGATAGGAGGATAAGATTTACTTGACAATCCTGGTGATTTTTGCCACTCCTGTTTGTTCATGCAAAAGGTTGTCCTTTATCCTGTCTTGGCAGAGCAAGTTGCATTTAACTTCATTAAAGTCATTTAAGGCTATTTGTTACATTTCCATGAAAAAAGACACAGCTTAACTCTCCAGGATACCATTGAGCTTCACTTGCCTTCTCTGTCCTTGCAAGTCACAATTGCTGGGACACAGCCAGGGAAAAGAAGAGAGAAGCCTAGGGAGATCGGCAAAAGCCCTGTGTCCAACTAGACCGTTTGGGACCCCTCCATGAGTGTCTCTAAGCAACTGCAGTACAGTGAGGCCCCAGGCTTTGGAGCTACTTCACAAGAGGTTCACTGCACCTGCTAGGACCAGGATTGAGAAACCAACAGCACGAAGAAGGGAACAGTCTCCATGAACACACTTGGCATGTTTTTCGTGTTTCAGCTAGAACAGAGAAAATCAGAGGCAATTCCAGTTTTGCCCAGGCTAACAAACTTTATTACCATTTTATTGAAGAATTCTAACACCTATAACTACCAGAGTGGCACCTTTAAACTCATCAAGAAGTTGGCCAGTTGGAAGTTAAGTGTTCCAAATATGGAAAACCTAATGAGAAAACTCAATTTTAGTATGTTCAGCTGACATCTTAAAATTTGCTAGCAGAATTTCCTAAAGACTCTAGCTCTCACATGAGACTGCTAACCATCTAGTGCTCTGAAGCAAGTCCTCTTCTCTGCTCAGAAGATGCATTAGAAGTTGGAACAAGAAAAGAAGGACAGAGAGTACAACTACAGAGAGAATGACACCAAGGAGAACAAGATGGGGAGCATACGGGCCAGAGCTGAGCAGAAGGTGGGAATCAGAAAGGGAGGAGATGTAATAGCAATGTAAATTAGGGGGCAGAAAATAAGGCAAAGATGACAAGAAGCAGCACAGGAGTAAACACAGGGCCTTTATAAAGATGAAATACATTCTCTCACCATTAAGTGAACAGACTTGAGACTAATAGTAAAGAATCTCCATCCCACTCAATGCAGGACGCAAAATGAGGTTTTTCTACTGCTACCTACAGCATTTTCAGATAGTACAGGAGAATGCTGCAGATCCATAGAGCTCAGCCACACTGTTGTGCAGAGGCAGCCTGAGTAAATCCCCCAACAGAAGCCTGAGTTTTAGGGTTCTTCACTTATGTATTTACCTGAATTCACTGTGCTATATGTTTGTGAGTGGCTACCTTCACCTACCATGTACCCATTGTACCTACTGTAGGAAAGAAAGCTGCTACGTCATTTGCTACAGATACAAAAAGCATGTGATGGAGGGGCCTGGTTCTGGTGAGAAAGGAGAGTCTTACAGTTGCGGCAAATAACTGAGCCTCTAGAAAACTGTTTTTTAACTCTGTTGGTAGAAGTTTCCATGTAAGTCTAAGGAATATGCATTATATATTCCTCATTTTTCTCCCACACCCCAATTGAGTAATTTGTGGTGTGAGCTGCTAAGATGCTGAATGTGAGTAGGTGCATCTGAAGTCAGTGGGAGGTGGACTTCAGTACATGCCGAGTAGCATAAAGCATTTACCATCCTGCAAATGAAGGTCTTTGATTTAGCATTTACCACTGGGAATTTAAGGCCTTATATTTCTCCACAAAGGTATCCAGAAGTGTTGGTATTTTTCATTTCCTGGAAATAGACAAGATAATGCCAACTATTTCCTAATGCTGCAACATGAGTAAAGTCATTAATGGTTAGTAGGGTGATAGCACTCCTGAAATGCACTAAGGGAAATTAATTTTCCTAATTATTTGATGAAGGATAATGGTATGCAGTAAACTGTACATTAAAGTATATATGGAATAAGCAATAAAAGAAACATTAACTAGAAACACACATTTGGAAAGCTTCTGGAGTTTAGTCTCCTGCTGTCTCAGGTAACCACTTCACATAAGCACTTTTATAAATTGATCAGGCTCCACTTTCAATGCAGATGGGCTTCCTGCCCTCAGCACAGGGAAGTTGTTCCACAGCCTCACTGCTCTGAAAATTCCAAATCTTCTAATTCAGTCTAAATTCACTAATGTCCATTTTACACACAGTGGTCTTCCATTTAAACAACAATCTTATATCCATATCTACTCTCTTTTTGAGATAACAAATCTCTTAATCTTTATTTTGCTAAACTAAACACAATGAACTTTGCAAGCTTCCTCTTGTACAACTTCCCCAAAGAATACCATTAGTACTTAACATTAGGGTTCCTCTAGGGAAACAAGCTTATGGCTATGTGATTAAAAACTATACCACTGTGCAGTCTTAAGGCACATAAACCCACAGGACCAAAACGTGAAAAGCAAGCAGCATACAGCAGGTCTGAAGCCAGACACAGAGGAACATACACATCTGACTCTACCTCACATGTGCAATTAAGACTGGATCTATCGCACAGCTCTTTGCACACAGACTTGCTGTGCCCAGCACTTCCCAGCTTTTAAGATGGCTCTGCATTTCTTAATCTCCCAACCTCTCAGTAGGTGGGAGAGAGCCATGAACTAAATGGTAAGAGGCTAATTCTAGTATCTTCCCCATCTTTGATTGGAATCAGTGAAGGAGGTAGCCTCAATTAGGTCAGATGTCCTTCATCAAATAAAACCCATTCATCCATGCCTTATAGGCAAGTGGTTAGTTTTATCTCTGATGGAGACATGATGTTAATCAAAAAAGGTTTTGTTGCACAATTGGTCAATTTTGGCCTTTACTTCATGTGTAAACGAAGATAATCATTAGGGACTTCAGTGAAAATAAGAGTATCCTAACTAGCAAGGAGGAGTAAAAAGACAACCTAAAACTGTAGCAAGTTGCCAAGCCACAGTAAATAAATAACATTTCCGTAATGCTTTCTGAAAGACTTTCATTAACTTTGAAAAGGATGTCATTGATAGGTCCATTTTGATAACAGCTTCCCAAACCCAAATGACAAAGAGAGTGGCTAGTTCACAGCATATATCCAGTTTCCACGTACATAATCCCAGTCCTAGTCCAAACACAGATCAAGAGCTTTACGAGTTGAGACAGTAACATCCTGGTGTTGATTCAGAGAATTCATCATCCCATCTGGATGCTGAAGCTCCTCAGCATGACTATATTTGGTGATGCTGAAACCAAAGGTGAGAAATCTCATCATGTCACACAGAGACTCCATACTGCACAAAGACATTAGTGAACCCCAATTAACCTGAGCCCGGACAAACCGGAGCCATTTGATCCACCCTGGATTTTGTGTGCTGAATGCCGGGACAAACCGTGCAAACCCCGTGTCATTACCACGTCCTCCGCGACTTGGGCAGAAAAAATCATGCATCCACCTGGATAGCATTTTGGACGTATGTATGGCAATAAGTGCTTCACGTTTATCCATTCACTGATAGGTAACATTTTGTTATTAATATGTCATAGCATGGACGTAAAATTCCAGTCTGTGTTCATCACATCTCTGACCTCCTGAAAATTAAGATCACATCAAGAGAGGGGAAATCTGTTGATGACTGCTTACGAGAAACGTCTGCGCCCCCTTCCCCCTGCGCGGGCCCTGGGGATCAGGCACTCCTCAGGACCGCCTTCCCGTCACCCGGCCCAGGGCACAGAGCAGTCGCCTGCACTCAAAAATGGCTTTTCAGAACCCGCCATTGGGAAACACTCGCGCCGGGAGCTCCCGCAGCCACCACCCGGGTTGCTGCGCGGGCCGAGGCACAGCCCGGGCGGGGCGGCGGCTCCCCGCTCCGAGCGCCCTCCTCCCTGCCGCGGGCAGGCGGACTCTGCCCGCTCCGGAAGAGCCCACCGGCAGCCGCCGGCCATACCGGCTCCTCCCGCCCCGCCCCGCCCTGCCCTGCCCAAGCCACCTCAGGGGTAGCTGTCCCGCTCCTGCGGGAGCTAACGTGAGAGGCGGGCCGGGGGGGCAGGCGGAGTATTGACAGCTGCCCGCTCGGGCGCCGAAGGACCGCCTGGGTGTGTAGCGGGGCCGCCTCGTCCCGTCTCTCTCCTCTGCCCGCCAGCAGAGCCCTCGCCCCGCGGCCGACGCGGGCACCGCCTCGGCCGGTGCCTCCCGCCGGGAGCTCCCTGCCTCTCTTCCCGCCTCGCCCCCTCGCAGCACCGGTGCCGGCCGGCACCCGCTGCTCCCTGGGCCGCGATCGGGCCCCGGCGGCCAGGGAAGGGGAAAGGGGGACGGCGGAGGAGAGGCTGGGATGGGGGGGGTTGTAGCAGCATCACCATGGCGACAGTGACGTCATCTCACCCTGGATCTAATTGGAGGAAACCCCGTGGCCCCAGCCGCAGCCCACGGGCCAACCGAGCTTGTGCCCTGCCTGCGCTCGCCCCCGCGGCGGCGCGCTCTGCTTGGATTGGCTGTCAGGGCGCGAGGGGGCAGGGCCAGGCCCGCAGACAAGGCTGCGATTGGCCGCGTGGGCGCGGGTTGAACAGCGGGTAGGCTTGCCTGTGCCAACGCCCTTTAGCGCTGGCTCTCGCCGGAGACGGGAGCGGTTCTTTCTCTCCGCCACAGCCCCGAGCGAGGCAGCCGATCGGGTGGCGCCCGCGGCCCGGCCTAGCGAAGCGGAACCAGGTGAGCGCCGTGCCGCGGCCTGGCGGCGGGTGCGGGCCCCGCTCTGCCGCTGCCTGCCGCCGCGTCCTCCATTTTGTGATCGCGGCGTGGAGCTCTCGGCGGCCTCAGGGAACGGGAGGCGCAGCTAGCCAGAGCCGCCATTTCGCACCCAGCGGGGCCGCCGGCTTCCTCTTTCCGCCCTGCCGCAGCGGGAGGCCGCGCCGGCCACCCTCCGTCCCCGCTGCCCCCCTCCGTCCATGGGGACGCGGCCGCCCCTGGCCCCCGCCCTCGTCGGGACCGAGACCCCACCCACTGCCACTCCGCCGGGCTCCCCCGCCGCTGAGAGCCGCCGTCCCGGGCTGGAGTTAGGCCTGCTCCCACCGGGGGGATGCGGGAGGCCAGGACCCGCCGCGCCCCACCGCCAGGAGGCGAAGCAGCCTGGCCCCGCCGCCCCGCCCCGGCCGCTCCGAGCTCCCCTGGCCGCGCTCGCCCCGCAGAGCGCGGGTGCCCGAGGGAGGCGGATCCAGGCCCCGCTCTGCCTGCCCGTTGGGTTTTAACCCCTTCCTTGCCTCCCCAGGGACGAGCCCGTCTCCCTCATTATTTATTTCTTTCCCTCTTTTCTCGCCTTTAGCGTCCTCCTTTCTTCAGCTCTCACCTGCAGGGGTTGTGTCACACGGGGCTTTGGGCGAGGCGACGAGGGTGGCGGGGTTTCCTTCTTCAGGTTCGTGTTAGAAGGCAAGGAAGAAAAGCAGGGTGAAGACAAAAGTCCGCCCTGATGGAAAAATAGCTATTTCCAGTGCTTGGTCTTTAGGATGCTGTCCCTTGGCTAGCGCTGAGTGTGCCTCCCCAGTTGGGTTTCTAGGTCGTGGTTTCCCTAGGGGTGGACCCTTGAGACTAGCGCCTTTCCCCGTAGCCCTGCATGGAAGGGCAGGTTGCTGTAGTCCATCTTTCCACAAGAAGCACTTGAGATGGGGAAGGGGAGGCAAGGCTCACTGTGATCCTTGGTGTTTGCGAGGCGTGGCATAGGATTGTGCTCTGTAGTGGACATCCTAGCGCCATGGTTACCATCTTCTTTTCTGCAGGTTTTGAGGTGCATTCTCGTGTTGGTAGTGTGACGTCCCCAGCTTCTCCTGCTTTTGCTACTCTACTGCTCTTGCCCCACTGCCAGCCACCATGGATAAGACCGAGTTGATCCAGAAAGCCAAGCTGGCTGAGCAGGCTGAGCGCTATGATGATATGGCAACCTGCATGAAGGCAGTAACTGAGCAAGGTGCTGAGCTGTCCAATGAGGAGCGCAACCTGCTCTCAGTGGCCTACAAGAACGTAGTGGGGGGTCGACGCTCTGCCTGGAGGGTCATCTCTAGCATTGAGCAGAAGACAGACACCAGTGACAAGAAGATGCAACTTATCAAAGACTATCGGGAGAAGGTGGAGTCTGAGCTCAGGTCCATCTGCACCACTGTGCTGGTGAGTGGGGACTTCCTTTTTTCTTCTGTTTATTTTTAGGATAAAGAAATACAGTATTCATGTGTTCTGCTGTACTGGCGAATAAGACTGGGATCTTGACTGGGGAACATTGTGTGAAGTATGCTGGGGTAGGGGAAGTCTGTGCAGTAATTTCTGCAGTCATTATGTGGGTTTCTGTGAGGAGGAAGATCATCTGCTCAACACTGTAGCCCTAGATGTATAGAGTTATCTGAGATACACACTCAATTTTGAGTGTGCTTTTAGAATACGTTTTTGGCTGGAGTGATCCATATATAGTATTGCACTAGATAATTACAAAGAATTTAGCCTCATGCCTATTTGTGTTGTGGTTTTTAAGCTGATCTGTTTGTAAGGTAAGCTGAAAAGAAAGTGAGAAAACCACTTTATTTCTTCAGAGCTAGTAACCTGTTAAAAGCATTTAAACTTGGTGTGCATTTTGTTTACATCTTGTGAAGCAAAAGACTATCAAGGGGTATTTAAGACATGTTTTGAGGATCTTTTTGACAAAAATGTGTTTTTATGAAGTAAAACATCCATGTTGAAGATAGGAAATAAAGAAATGTGGAAGTTGGCTTTGTCAGATTCAAGCTGACTCCTCAGGGGAATCTTTAAGATGCATTTGCAGTAATTATGGAATAATGTAAAACTGAGGTGTGAAAACTGGCATGACACCCCAGGCATGCATCAAAGCCCAGGAATACATTTCTGTACAAGCAGCAGAATTCCAGATGCTATCGGTAACGAAACTACTGCGCTGTAGTGGCAGCTGAAGAGACTTGTCAGCAGTGTGGAGGCTGCTGGACCCTATTCCATGTGACGAGAGTTGTGGCTGCGGGAAGCTACATGCGTGTAATGCAGTAGTAACTGTGTGGCAGATAATCTTCAGTGGTTTATTTGCTCTTCCTCATTACTTTTGTCTAGTGTCTGCTATTGCTAACTAAGAACAGGAAGAAGCAGGTCTATAAGTAATTAAACAATTTTGAGGTGAACGTATCCTAGATTAGTTTAGGAGACCTGAATATAAAGCTGATTGGTTTGGAAGTAACTGATTTTTTTTTTTTCTTTATGAAGCCTTCTGGATCCTCACATACAAGGGAGAATTTCTTTGCATTGTGCTGAAAATATTCTTCCTTGCATGCTGCTGAATAGGTTTTGGGGATTTTTTCTAAAACAGTCAAAATGAGTTACCTTTGCTCAAAAATAATTTGGATGTTTATTAGCTTAATCAATCAGTTGAGTTAATTCCTTAACACATTTCAGAGTTCTGTGTCTTCCAAAGAGTTTCTCCAGTTACAGGCATAGTTAAGTTGTAAAACTTTCACCGTTGTGAAAATGATGTGACTTGTGTAGGGCACCAACTACTGATTCCTGTGACTGGTTTCACTAGAACCTGTGTGACCAGATGCCAGCATTCTGCTACCAGGAGCTGGTGCTTCCATAGGGAGACTGAGTGCCTCTGAATGATAAAGGTAGTGAGCCATTTCATGCAGTGTCTATACTGAAATTATTCCAGGCGCATCAAATGGTGGACAGCAGGCAGTCTGGTAACCGTGCTAACACAAGCCTCTGATGGAGGGAAAGCAAGCTCTTCCTGTGCTAGCTGGGTTTCCCCCTGCATTCATGTCTTTCTCTGTTCTCAGCAATGACCTGGTTGGCAACTCTTTCCTTCCCTTCTCACCTGGAAGGCTACAGGAAGTAGTGAAGACCAAAACCTGCAACTGTGCATGCTTTTCCTGTTCTGCCCTGCTGGCAAAGATGTGCCTTCCTTTGGTAGGAGCAGATGTCAGCCTGTCTACTGCAAGCCTTCTGACTTTTATTCTTCCTTTGAGGGACATGTGCAAGTTACATTCTGTTCAGCTTCTTTCCCTTTCCTCCTCCATCTAGCGCTTCTATGATCCATGAGTCAGCATCCAAGAAGTTGGAACTCACAATGTGCAGGCACTACAAAGGATGGGTTTCCCAAAGCTGAGCTGCAAGGGAGTTATGACTCCTCCTCCTTCAAATTACAGTTTTTTTTTCCTTTACTAATGCCATAGTAAGTGCTCGTAACGTTCTTAGATCTCTTTAAGCTGAATCTCAGAGGTGGGTCTTTAACTCTAGGAAGGAAGCTAATCTGAAACAACTGCTGGCAAGTAGTATGGAAAGGTTGCTTGTCATCTGGAGTATTTGGATTTAGCAAGGGTGGATGTGTGGGGTGGAGTGTGACTGCTGTTAGTCATACTGCTAACAGTTTTTTCAAAAGGCTTTTATTACTGGTATGGCACACCTTTTGAAAAGGAAGTGTATCTGCTTCATTTGGAAATATTCTAACGTTACAAAATACTGCTAATTTTTGGTGGAAAAGGCAGCAACAATGCTGGATCTACAGTTGCTCTTTTTTCCATCAAGAATGTCTCAAGCCAATTAGATAAAGCATTGGTCTAGGGCACTGGTTGATAAGGAGCTTAAATTTAATAACCACTAGAATACAACCATCAAAAATTATGTTGAGATATCTACATATAGATATACATAGATAAATAAAAATAAAACTTGCTAATTATTTAATTAACTTACAACCAATATCAGTGGTCACAGTAAGATGTTCCATCTCATGCCAAGCAGTGAAGGCATTGCTTTAACTGCCTATCTTGCAAATAGGAGTAGATGTGATCTAAACCCTT